AAAAGTAATAATATATTGTGCTAGAAAATAGGACTGTGAAGATATACGGAATGAATTACATTTCAAATTGCCAACCTATTCTTTAGATATATTTCATGGAACTCTAAAAAGTGAGGAAAAAGAAAATATATTAAAAAAATGGGAGAATAATAAAATTCAAGTAATAATAGCAACTACAGCATTTGGAATAGGATTAGATACCTCAGATGTTCGTTTAGTACTGCATTACACATTTCCAATAAACTTAAGTATGTAAATATTTACATTTTAATTCAAATAGAACACCTTATAATTTACAATCTTTATCATAGTTGAATTGATACAACAATCAGGAAGAGCTGGACATAATGGTAAACAAGCTCAAGACATAGTATTCTTTAGTATGCGAGATCTAAGAACCAACTATTGTATTATAACGGGAAATCAAGAAAGGTAAATTAAAAAAGATAGATTAATAAAAAGAATAATTAGACTTATTTTATTAAAATTTGATATAGCAATAATGAAATAAATAGTATAGATGTTACTTTTGAAAATTATCTTCGAGAAAGCTAGCAAAATTTATTTGACATTTTACAGTTTTGTATGTCTCGCTATGAATGTCGACAACTACTATTGTATACTTATTTATGGCCAGATTGCCATATAATACCCGATTCATGTAATAAATATGATAATTGTATTCGACATGAAGAAGACAAGCCAAAACTTCTTGATGCTACAGAAGAAGTATATGAAATGCTAGAGGTAACTGAAGCATTAATATCCAACTTCTCTACAGAAATTTCTCCAGAGGATATAGTTGATGTATTTAGCTGCTCTAATACAGAAAAAATCAGAAAAAATGAATATAATCAATTGGTTTTGTGTAGAGGAGTTAAATTATATGAAGAAAAAGAACCAACTATCTTAATTCCAAAGGAGACAGCACAGATTGCACTAAATGATCTAGTATCCAAAGGATTAATAAAGCAAGAGATTCGGTTACAAAAGTCAAAAACAACACAGTATTTGTCATGCAGTGTAATCATAACTGGAATTAAGGAAGGAGCAAAAGAATATGCACAAATGAATAGTTGGAAATATTGGGTACGAAATGGAAAGACAAAGAAGAATAAAAAAAAAGCTTACTAAACTAAATCATTAAAGATAAAGTACTTGCATTTCATTATATTCGAATATGTCATAAGCAATTACAATTAGGTAGCTTTTTTAAACCTGAACAAAATAGAGGATAAAAAAATATAGTTAATTAATTATTAATTAGAAAAACGATAATACTTGATTATTGATACCTAACTTGTTCAAGCAATAAACCCAATAAGTACCTGAACACTAGCAAAATATTCTTAGAGTTCTATAATATTTTGATGTAAATATAATCTATAACTGAGCATATTTAGTAAACACATTACTGTATACAATAAATAAAATGCAAATTAAAACTAAATTTATAAATTACCATATGCAATAAAATATCTCGAACCATAAGTATGCAACATATATTGAATAATTTTCTCAAGCACTTTCATAATAAATTCGAATTGTCAATATCTAAATTTCTGTGTATTTAGTAATAATTCTCTTATAATATTATGTAATTGGTGCTATCCATCTAATAAGGTTCTCATCTACTATATGTGTACATTTGAAATTTTCAATTCTTACATTCAAGCCATGTAGTACCTATAATTTAATTTTTGTAATAATTATTTCAAATATTAAATATTATACATTAAATACTATTTATTTTATTTATACTTACAAAGATATTCTCACATCTAAGATTATGATTTTCTAGTTTAGAGAATGTCGAATTTATTATAGTCTCTATTTTGGTAAAGATATTATGATAAGTTTTTCAAAACTTAGTAGCTACACAATATTTAACAATTCTTTCAAGTAGTTAGTCTTAGATATATATTCGTTAGTAGATAAAATAAAAAAAAAAGGTTAGGAACTACTGAACTAAACCAGATAGTTATGCTCTGTTATGATAACGCACATTTTTTGGCAGATAAAATATTTTTTTTTGCAGTCAAAAAAAGGCTTTTCGAGCGTATGTACGCAAAAAATATGTTGATATATTTTCTATTTTTTTTTTATATAGTACAATTTGGTTCTAGAAAATCATATTGTTTCAAAAACTGTATGTTGTCAATCAAAAAAATTTGCCATCACAATTATAATAAAAATGATCGACATATACTCTACCCTTAAGAGTAGTTTTGATAAGCTAAAATTTATTTTTGATTTGATCAGATAGTAAAGAGTTAGTTAAGATTGAGTTGTCTGGGTATTCAATTTGGTAGTTATGAAGAAGTGTTAAAAAATTTGAAGATAATAGGTGATTTTTAAGATATTGAATTTGTTTGTATCTATAAAAGAGAGGTAGTTGTTTAGTAGAAGAAGTGTTATAAGCTTTCTTAATAGTTCTTATCTTTTTAAAAAGGATATGTTTAGTAGCTGCTTTGGTTAAAGCTTTATAAATTTTGTTTCAGATATTGTTAAGTTGGTTTTGGTTTGTTATAGTATCAATTTGAAGAGCTATTTGTTGAAAACTTTGAGTTATTTGGTTAGAGTAGTTTTTGAGTATTTCTTTAGAGAAATCTTTCTATAAATAGTATTTCCTTTTTTGTTACTTAGAGGGCTTTAGTTTGTTGATGATTATAGAGATTTTGATTGTTATAGTATTATGATCAGAGTCATATATATTATCAGAGATAATATCAGTATAATTAATAATAGAGGTAGATAGATTTGTTCATATTTAGTTAATTTAACTTGAGAATTAAGAATAATTAAAGATAAAGTTTTTGGTTTTGGGAAAGAAATATCAATAGATATTTTTGTATTGATAGCTTATTAAGTATTTAATAAGTAGGGTTTGGCGATCTTAGTGTAGTGGTTAGGTTGCCAGACCGCCATGTAAGAGGTCTGGGATTCAAATCCCACTGTCGACAAATTTGAATAATTACCCGGACCTTTGTATCCAACTTACGGTAAACCCTGTCCGTTTCTGGGGTTGTAACCCTGTAAA